ATAGATTATTTTTTTTTTTATAGAAATAATGATTCTTTTTATTATTAGAAAGTTAAGATATTAGATTATTTATACCTATATATATTATCATGTTAGAAGTTTTATTTTCTATGAGTTTCTTTTATCATGTTTGTAATTATTTCAAACTGTTGATGTATTTTTATAATTTTGTGTATTATATTACTATAGGTCTATACCCTATACTAAGGGCCCGTTTGGCCATAGATTTCCCAAGTAAAATTTGGGATTTTTTTGGCAAATAGTGTTTGTCCATACAATTTGCCATTATTTGACAAATATTTTTGACAAATAACCCAAATTTCCAAATACTAGAAAAAACTAGAATTTGGGCCAAATCTTGTTATTTGGGAGCTTTTAAAAATTCAAATTCTACGTCAAACTTTTATCTTTTACAAAAACATCCTCTATAGTAGTTGTTTGCGCTGTATTACATAATCTTTTACGTGAACATCAAAGCAATGATGGAATATTCAGTGAATATGAAAGTGATGATATGCTTATTGATGAAAATGCCGAACAATCGACTCAAGGTAATAAAGTCAGATCCTTCGTCTACTTCACGATATATGAAATGATGTTTGTTGCACTCACTCCGAACTACCATATTGGACATGGACAACTAACCATCACCATGAGTTGGAGCTTAATTGTTAATAGAAGTCAAATCTATCATGATTCATACAATAATAGAACACTATCTCAATTATTATTATTATTAGTAGTAGTAGTAGTTTCATTCGTACTAAATATATGGGCTATGGTCGATAAAATGATCAGAATGATCCTTATAGGATCAGAATATTTTAATCCTTTATTAACAGGTAATTGAAATAGTTTTTAATCTATAAAAAATGATTATTCTAGTTTTTTTTTATATATCTATCACGTAATTAAAATAGTCTATAATGTATAACAGTATAGGAATGGAGTGTACATTTTTCTGGCATCCCCTAAAACATCATTTTTGTTCTTACAGCATAAGACACAACATGAATTGTGATTTTAAAGACAAAAACATGCGTTGATTATTGATACAAGAATTTTCATTAAAGAAAGCAAAATGGATTTCTCTTCTTATCATATAAAAGAATCTCAACAGTTTCACTCTCATTTTTCTTTTAATGTTTTTACAAGTACTTGTATCCTCAATATATTAATACTTTAAGTTTATACAAATCACAAGTATCGCTCCTAGAATCATGCAAAATGATTTTGAATTGAACGAAATTTGGGGGGTCATATAGAAAATATGTGTTATATATAGAGATATTGATCAAAGAGAAAATATTGATGATGGTAACATGGGTAACTGATCACCAAAAAGTGTGCTTAGATATAATTAATTAGGCATGTAATATTAACTTTCCTATTTAATTTATTTATATTAAAGTAATAAAATAATTACTTTTTTCGTACACTAAAAACTACAATTATTATTTGATATATAAACTATTACAATAATCATTTTTTACACATTAAAAATCATTTTGGTACATAGTATACACAACAGACAAATAATCTTACCCCCGTTAAATATTATTTTAGTCATTTTCTCAGATATGGTCCATGCATATTTTTTCATTCACATGAGATCCAAATTGTATTAGCCTCAAGATATTTGAGAATAAAAAAAAAACAAACAGGCACTACATATAACATATTTGATTATGTAAAAATCTCATTTCCAAATATTATAAGAGCATTGTGATGTCATGTGTGAAATTTTGTAGAACCGTACGAGACGTGTTCAATTTGAATTTGGACTCTAGAAGGTGTGTTCAGTTTCAATTAGAATTCTTGGAGGCTACTCAACTCTAAAACCTATTCCATGCCTATATAAAGGAGATATACTATATGTCTTAAAAGGCATCTCAAAATATCCCATAAATAATGGGTATTTTCTAAAGATCAAAATCTTGAATATTTCACAAAAGTCATGGAATATTCATATAGAGGTCAAATCTAAATCATCACAGTTCGAGAAATACACCACTAACGGCCCTCAAATCATGGATTAATCTTAGGAGAATAGAATCAAGGGAGGAACAAAATTGTACCCGCACTATTATCAATAAAATATTCATGTTTCTTCAGATTTTATTTGTGTGGTTGATTTATTTTCCACATGTTTAAAATTTGTTGCAAACAAATTGGTAAGCCCAGTGGGACCAAATCTGCCATTCATCTCTTCTCTCATAAGTGAAATCTGAAAATCTGAAGCTGCAAAGGTGAAAGAATGAGTACTTCAAGCCTCGTCTTTGAGTTTCATCGAGTCTACACTCCGACAATCCTTGAAACAGGGGGCATTTGTAGACATTGAAATTTTGTGGGACTCTACAAGACATGCTCAATTTGAATTTGGACTATAGAAGGTGTGTTCAGTTTCAATTAGAATTCTTGGAGGTTACTCAACCCTAAACCCTAGTCCATGCCTATATAAATGGTACTATATTTCCTTAAAAGGCATCTCAAAATATCCCATAAATCTTGGGTATTTTCTAAAGATCAAAATCTCGAATATTCCACAAAAGTCATGGAATATTCATATAGAGCACTACAGGAAAAATGTGAATTACATGGAGATTTTTCTAAGGATTAGTATGAAAATCCGCATGAAACTTATTTTTCTGTAAATTTTCATACTAATCCCTAGGAAAATCCCCATGTAATTCACCCTTTTTTTGTAGTGGAGGTCAAATATAAATCATTCTAGTTCGAGAAATACGTCATTAATGGCCCTCGAATCATGGATAAATCTTAGGTGAGTAGAATCAAGAGAGAAACAGAACTGTACCCGCACTATTATCAATAAAATATTCATGTTTCTTCAGATTTTATTTGTGTGATTGATTTATTTTTCATATGTTTAAAACTAGTTGCATACAGTAAGTATTAATGGTTGCTTCTGCGACTCAAAATCGTGACCTATAGATTACACAAGACAATTTTGCCTTTCTCCTTCTCAAATACTTTTTTCACTCTTAGCCAAATATCCAGTAGTTCAATCTTTGATATGAATTCACTTTTATTAAGAGCGTATTATTAGGTTTTTAAATGAAGGAGTTATGGCGATAAGAGAAAAAGATTGTCGGGTATCCATTATCAGATTTTTTTTTCCTTATCCCATCATCAGATTCGAACAAATATATGATTGATTGATTTTTTAAACTAATAAAAAAAAAACTTGTAAAGGAACTATCATTTTTTTGAAAACACGCTAGGTTTATTTATTTGTTGGTTATAATTTTCTTACATAAATTTATAAAAGGGAAAAGGCTCAAATATGTCATCGAACTTTCAGAAAAGGCTCATTTATGCCATCCGTTAAAAGTTTGGCTCATCTATGCCATTACCGTTTAAGAAAAGGCTCATTCATGCCATTATTTTTTAACGGTGGTTTTACAAAACCATTTTTTACACGTGGCCAATTATAATTCGGCCACGTCATTATTATTTTTATAATAAAAAATCAAAATTCTGAA